AATATTATAATAGATTTTAATAAATTACAATAATAAAATTTAGCTTCGGACTTACAACGGTTTCCGTTTTCCTAGTTACTATAATATTATATTTTGTCTATTTGTTTTAACAAATAAATATTTTTTTATTTATGATTTTTAATACTTTTCTTTTTGATAATAATATAAGACAATTTAGTAGCAAGTTAAAATAATAATATTTATTTCAAAAATAATTGAAAAAATGAGTTTTAAAATTATTTACTAGTTAAATAAAACAATAATTTTAAAAAATATGGCTTGAAAAAGAAATCAACAATAGATAATTAATATTTTTTTTAATTAAAAGTTTTTTAAATATAAAGTTTCAAAAATACTTTTTTAGTGTACTTTTAAATATTTTTAAATATTGTTGCTTTAATAAAAATTAAATAGTCTGATTGATTACAAATAATAAGAAATGGGTATAATAACAATTATAAGAACTTGAATTTTGATTTATCAGATAATCTTTTTAATAATAGTTAAAATAAATAATAATTTTTTTTTAATATCTTTTTTTATTATATTTTATTTCTTTTTTTTATATAGTTTCTATAAGAGGAGATTAATATAATTTGAATTTATAGTTATAACTATAGAGATAATCTATAAACTTTGATTTTATTAAAAGTTTTAAATTTTATTCTTATTTATTAGAACAACAATATATTACTTTTATAAATTATATTTAAAGACTTTAGCTGTTAACATGTAAGCTGAATTAAAAAGGTTTATACTTTACATGTATTTTTATACTTGTAATAATTATATGATTTAATAAATAAAATAATATCAATCTGATTATAGGTTTAAAAAAAAAAGCTAATTGAAAAAAATATTATTTTTATAGATAAAAATAACTTTATAATTATTTTTAAATACAATAAAAAAAGTAATACTGTATAAAGATATACAATTATTAATATATATATATATACTGTATATAAGAATTAAATAAAATTTTTTAAATAAAATAAATTTTGTATAAATAGTATAACTAGTTCAATTTTACTTTATACAAATCATAAACTCCAAGTTTATACAGTGATTATTTATAATTATATTCATGAAATTACAAGAATACTTGAAGGTAAAAAAGGTTTAATAAAACAATAATATTTAATTTGATGTGTTGGGTGTGTTATAATAAATTGTTTATATAATTATTATTCTTTTTGCAACATACTGTATTTTATCTCCTACTTTGTTAATTTAATTTCTTTCAATTTTAAATAATAAATTCTTTTTAGCACAATAACAAAATAATTTATAATAAGATCATAATATAACAGAAAAGTTTTTTTTAATCTTTCGAGTCTTTAAAGAGTATCCAATACATTCCACATACTGTATTATACAGTATATTATACAGTATATTTTGAATTACAGCAGTCGTTAAATTATATTTTTATAACAATACAGTATATCGAGACGATTTTGATTAAATAAATATTTAGGTCAATGATAAGCAATTGTAGCGAAAAAATTTTTGCCGAAATAAAAAATAAATGAGAAAAAATTACTTGGAAAAAAAAAATCATCAAGAGTTATAACGAACCAGGATAACGACATTTCAATCTTGTCAAAAGAAATAAAATAACTGATGATACGACTGAATGATCTACTCGACAAAAATTAGGATTTTGTGGTTTCATAGATAGCAAGACTGGAGAAAGTAGATTTTAGCATCATGAACATTTTAAGCCGATACTAAAAAACAAAAAAAAAAAAGTTTATACTCTCGATTTCATAAATAGCAAAGGACATTTTAGCACAAAACTTTGTTTTCCGTTTAGCCATCGGCAACTCGTTTCCGTCATTCAAATTAGCATATCGCCATTATCGATAAACCGCGTAAAAGATCTAGCGAAAAATAAAATTTAAAGACTGTGCCATTTGCGTAATACACAAGATGTGGATGTAACTTAAATTAACCATGCAATAAAATTTTCGGAAATACAGTATACAGTACCAGGTAGAATCGTACGCATGTGCGTCAGATTTTCATTATTAATATTACAGTATAATGAAGATAATTAATATAATGGTCACATTATCTCTTTCCAACGATATTGGTGGTTGTACATTTTTTTTATTAATGCAAATAAAAAAAAAGGACGAATTGATTTTTTTTTTTTTCATTAATACAAAAATAAGGATTTTTTTGTCATCTGATCACGCCATATTTGGATGTGTGTTTAAAAAGCTTTAGCACGAACAGCAAAAATTCATCTGTATAATGGTGTCATTCTTCCGATAATGATTCTTTATTGGTGCGTGAATTTAATTTCGAAGGATTAGTAAGGTTAAACAATGTCGAGATTAATGTCTCCACTATTTAGTCTGTTCCGTGGTTCAACATAGGTTATTTTCATCATACCATAATTTGAATGTTGGCAAGATAAACCAAAGTCTGTGTGTCGGTGGCTAACACACGTTACCCGAAAATCGGTGGGGGCTAAGAAAAAAATAATTTATTTTTTAAGCGTGCGAAAAATTTAAAAAAACCAATTATTTTTTTAGCGCACGGTCAAAAATACGAAAAGGCATTGTAAATGATGAAGCGGTTGATTGGAAACTTTTTTATGTCATTGAACTCTTGCAGAATTTCTGTTTTCGCTAATTACGATGCACTTAATGATTTGAAAACGTTTCTTCCTCCTATAATGGATCCATCCGTGTATAATGCACGTCTTAATATATTAGGAATGTACGCTGCATCTCGGTTCCACCATTTAACCTATTTCATAGTTTTCGAATATCTCGCGCCACTCCTTAAAAGAATGGGATTTTCATTATTTCATTGAAATGACATCTTGGCCAATCTGGAGGATTGACCGTGCATTGTCGCTACGCTTTTTCAGAAAGACCTCTTTTCTAGAAAGTTGACCAATTGTTGTTATATTACTCCGGAAATACAAACATCCAAAGACACTCGATTTTCACACCATATTCCCAAAGAGTCCGCTATACATTCCGGTGGGAACGAATCACACAATTTAACGATGCGACTTTTAGAATTCCTTCGTTCGTTAAAGAATGTCGTGATTGATTGTATCCACGGAACATTCGATTGGCGCGTTAGAATTTTCATCTTTTCTGGCATTCCGATCGGTACCCAATGCTTACCAAATCGTTACCAAATCGTTACCGCGATGATCTGTGACCTCAAGATCAAATTAACTTGTGTGTAAGAAAAAATTTAAGATGAAGAAAAGATTACCTCCTGATTACACCCGATCATGAAGACTATGAGCGATAGTTATGAGCTGCATGGCTTCACGTTGCACAGTGGTTGCGCCTTACAAAGATATTCGCATACCGAGTAAATCGCGTGTCACATGCCGGTAAAAATGCTGAATCCCATTTTTGCGGGGAATTTTGTACTGTATTGTGAAAACAGAAGATACACTATGCATCAATCACTATTATGAATGGACAATTATTATTATGTACAGTATATTTGAAAATTTTTTTATCGGTCGGATAATTTCAAAGATCTTTAAACGTGAGACATCCCATCCATCCATCAATCAATCAATCAATCGAGAAGGTATCGAATACACTCGTGAAGGTCAAATAGTTTTCTTCTTCGGCTATACATCTCTCGCTCGGCTATACATCTCTCGGACGAAGACTTCATGCATGTGTTTGCGTCTCAGAATTGTCTCAAATTTCTATTAACTGGAGGCTAGACCTCATCCGAACTCCTTGGTTAATATTCCATTGAACGAATTACGACTTGCATCAAATTTTCTCGTTCTACTATCCTTATATTAAACTAAGAAAGGGATCGACGTGTTGAACCAATTACAGGGGAAGTAATACCAAACCTCGAGCTTGATTAATAAGAGTAAGAGAATTCCAACAGTTTAGCCAATATAAAAAAAAATATTTCCCGTATTAATGAAAATAATAACAATTGAGTACATAAAAAATCCTGGGATGTAAAAAAAAAAAAATCATGTAATCTACGAAAGTCGGATTGCCATTGGCAGGAGGGGGAACTCGAGATTTCATATAAACTCGAGATTTCGATTTCGATTTAGTTTCGTTTTACCCCTAAATTGGATTCGAGTTCTTTCCGGTTTCCACATAAACAAATAACGAGAAAAACACACTCCTTCATTCTTTCTAACAATAATCTACACTCGACTGAACTTTGGAAAAAATGTATAACTTAGCGATGGTCATCCTTTACATACTATTCATAACCTCGTTAGTGTGCTCGATCTATGTGACATATTCACTGTGTAAAGCGCGTAGAAATTATATAGTGGCAATCTTGTCATTTTCTATGTCGTTGGTAAGCATTGATGTAATGCTCAGCCTATTTTGGGAGAATAATCTAAAAAGGGCTCCCCGTGAGTTTTGCTATTTCCAGGCTTTGTTGGTAAGTTTTTATTTTCCGATGAAGAAAATTTGCAATCTTTAAAGAAAGGTTTAAATAACATTTTCGAATTGCTTTCACGAACAGTTACAATATGCATGCTATTTAACGATGGCGTGCGCGTTATGTTTCGCCATACAAACATATCGATTGCTTGTGCTCTACAAACAAGAGACCTCACCATTCTTGAAAAAATTATATTACGGGTTTATAATTATCTATCCTATAGTCATCACCATTATCTTGGCCGTACCTTCAATTCGTTTTAATGCCATTAAACCGAGAGTCATGAACTGGTGAGTTTTAATGCATAAAGCGAGGTTAATTAAGAGACATTCATCCATTCGACAAGACATATAACATTTCTTAATCATCCGCTAGTGATGTGGTAGACACCCCCGTCAGGCTAATAGGTTATTCCGGCACTAATCTAATTCTCAGTTTACCCGGGACTTTTATAAGTGGTATTGTACCGAATTTCGAGTTACCTTTGGGAAAGGAGTGTTGACGCAAAAAAAAAATATATTAAAAAATTTTCTTAAATTCACGACAGCACGCGCCGCTTATTCGGTGTACAAGCACTTGGATCAATTCAAAACCACTCTCGGCACTCGAGACTTGAGTATGGCGAACAGTCACTTGGGATCGGAATCATCGGAAGAAATGGGAATCATGTCAGAATCCCGGAGTGACTCACCCTCTGCGCAAGAAGATCCAAACATGAAATCATTACAACCTCATAACGTCACCCCTAAAAATCGTCCTCATCCTCACCCCAACGCCACGTCCCGATCTCTCAGCCAATCTACGCGCGCAAAAAAGGGAATAAATGTGGAACATAGTAGGTCATATAATGTAACACGCAGGGCCGCGATTCGCATGGTAGGCTTCTCGCTGGCCTTCGCCCTCATCAATATCACGGCCAGCATTGGAGTTATTTTAAGAGTTATTGCCAATAAACCAAACGATACAGACTTGGCATCTAACGACTGGGTCGGTGGGTTACTTGGTATCATAGTTTATCTTGTTTTCGGTCTGCCCGATAGCGTATTTAGGGTTCAAAACATATAATTGTAAAAACAAACAAACAAACATGGATGGCGGTGGACGTGAATTTGTGCATGTAAATACATTTCTTTATTATCATTATTATTATCATCAATATTCTTCTTTTTTTACAACTTTAAAAAAATTGGTGCGACTTTTATCGGATGGGTTGACTGTTAAATTATCTTCAGTATTATACTGTATTAGATTAATAATTCATAATTCCTGGTGAAAATGAAAATGGTTTGTGTTGATCACGTAAAATCCATTCGAATGTCAAAGTGTTGCTTTCTAGTGTTGACTTGTTGTATTAGGTTTCCTGTTTCAATAAAGATATCTAATTTTTTCCAAAGAGTTCTATCGTGATGACGACAACAGGGGTGGGATTATTAATCAGACAAATCAGCTCAAACCTAACGAGTACGTAATACGTACTTGCATACAGCATAGTATGTAAATCAAGTCATTATTAGAGATTCATTTAATGCACTAGCATTTGCATAGATTATTTTGTATGTGTTTCGTCTCTTTGATATCGAATGATCGAATAGGACATTAAATATCTTTAATATATCAAACAGTTTTATCCTTCCACCTTCCACGTGTACTTTAGCTAATTTCGAGTTGTTTTAAATGATAGCGAGATTACGGGACATTTGTTTTATCATTTTAGATGATTGTCAGCGGCCGCATCGATGGATTCGAAAAGCTTTCCATGATGCTGTTAATTTGTCATGATGGTCGGTGATGTTATCAGTCATTGTGGAATTTTCTATAATTTCGATTTCGAAGAATCCCGAAACCATTGTATTAGGATGACATGTGGACATCTAATAAAAAATAAATAAACAAGCATACTTAACATGTGTCTTACGGTATTACAATCAAAGCAAAAATTAACATGGTCGCAGTGTTTTAATTAGAAATCGTCGGTTAAAATTTTTCACAATGATAAATTATTATATCATTTTGATTATTTTATTGAAAAGGAATTAACATAACAATCTTATATATATTGTAGATTAAAAATTTTAAGGAAATTTTTTTTAAAAAAAAATACACGAAAATTTCGGACTTTTCCATATTTGGCCCGTTATGACTGCGTCAGAATATCTGAAATATGAAATCATCGAAGTTCTGCAAATCTGTATTTTCCCATACTATAATGATATTTATGTTCCACAGATTTACAAGTAAAAAAACTATTACTGTATTGATCACAATCACTTACTCGAATCTGAAATACTGTATTAGTTTATCTTGGATCGTAGATAATAAACAACACCTCAATACAAAATTCAATGAAATCTTACAAGTTTTATATAAATTATAACATTACGATCAAAGAAAGAAAGAAAGAAGAATCCATGGTTATTTGAAAATTTCTTTATAATTATCATTTTATGTTTTTTATTTTATAGTTTTATCTAATAATCTCTTTAACTATTTTCTATTTATTGAAACTTTTTTTGTATCAAAAGTTCTTTCTTACATGTTATTGAAAATCCTGCAGGATTTATTTATTTATTATTATTTTTTTTTTTAAGTAGGTAAACACCAGTTCTTTATTATTTCATATATATAATAGCATACATTTAGGAAAGAACCAACATCTTTTAGTTGCAAAAGCATACAATAAGTTTAATACTAGCTTGTCTACTCTTATGATGTTTAACTAGCATAGAAAAGAAATTTTAAACTATACTAATTGCTAAACAAAGGAAGTAGTGGCTATGCTTACCTACTTAGAAAAAAGTTTTTACATTTTGGAAATTTGAAGAGAAGAAAAAAAATAAAGCTAACTAAAACTGAAACTAAGTCGAGTAAATTATAAAATCTATGAAAATAAAAGATGAATCCTCAAGAAAACACTTTGCCAGGCTCATTGTCCTGGATCGCTGGTTCTTTACAACTTGATGATACTTCTTTTCTTGATATGGATAATAGAATATACTTGAAGTTATTTACTGTAATAGTTGTTATTGTTATGGTAGGGATCAGACAGGTAAACCAGTTTGAGCCAGTTATTGTTGTTATTATTGTTATTGTTGTTGTTGTTGAATTGATAAACCGGTTTAAACCAGTTTTGTTGTTTTGGTTTGAGTGATGTAATGAATTTTGATTGGACGGTTGCCAGACATCAATCAATTGGAAGGTAAATTGATTTCAGTTTTTGGAACCAAAAAAGATTGAAGATTTTTTTTGAATGGCACAATAAGTGATGCCAGGATAGAAAAGTGTGTGAAGGTTGTGTTGAAACAAACATTAAAACCTACAACTTTGTTTAAGTATGTTTTTTAGAAAGTGTTTATGAATATAACGATTGTGATGATATATATGAAGATGGTTTTCATGATAAAAAAGGAATATAGGTTGCAAAAGAACCAAAGAACCAAAGTATACCACCACGGATCTTTCCCCATACAACCGAAGGATAAACAAGACTCCCAAACTTGAATAGATTTCGACCAGAGGTTCCATCCCACTGCATCAATTATCTTTAGTATTCTTGGGTTCTTGAGCTGGGGCTTATTTGTGATAAAGAATATAAAACATTTTTCTTTAACCAAAATTACCATATATGGAAATTTTTAGCAAAACAGATGTGATCAAGAGAGAGTTTTTATTGAATTATTTATTTTATTTTTTTTTTGATAAATTTTATAAAAATAAAAAAATATATATACAAAAATATAAAGTTTATAATACTGTATATTTAAAAAATTTTATTATTATAAATAAATATAAAATGTAAAAAAATTGTATTTATAAATTCAAAGTATTCAAAATCCTATTTTCTTTTTTAACATATTTTTAAGATAAACAAATATTAAATACAAAGCTTTATTAAATATTAAAATTATTATTGTTATATTAAATTTTTATTGTTATATTAAATATTTTCATATCATTTAAAATAAAATTAATGTTAATTTATTACAACTAATAACTACTTATTTTCTAAAAATATCAAAAAAACAAAAAAAAAACAAAAAACAATTAATAATTGATTAATAATTATCTAAAAACAATTAAACTAATACAATAATTAAAATTTTAATAAAATAAAAAAATATATTCAAATTAAATTTGTTAATATTTTAAAATATAATATAGTCAGGAAATATATCAAATTTAGAAATTAGTTTTGGAATGATCTACGGTGACGTGATTGGTTCCCGCATATTTTTTAATGGCTTTTGCATGACTTTTTTCTTCATATTGCAACTTTTAATTATAAAATTTAATTTGTTGTAAAAACATAGATTTAAACAGTACAATACCTTCGATTCAAATAATTCACAATAATCCACTCGAGATCACTTTTGTCGAAAAAGTAAATAAGACTAGAAAACTAAAAAGGATCTGTTTCGGCAGACAAGATAATTTTACTAACTACAGAACTATGTATATATTTCAATAGTGTCGGGATACCAAAAACCAAGAGCAAGAGACTTCTCATGTATTTTTGTAAGCTTAGTTAGGAAGTACAATGAAATTGGCTTGAAATCTTGCGAAATAAAAGGAATCCAAAGATAGCACCATGCTGATACTCAGGAAATGGCTAAGTGACTCAAACTTTTTCATACCTATATTAATGAACTTATTAACCTTTCTTTAGAATCTTATTCAATATATGAAAAGTATTATAATTAAATTATTACTAATCAATTTTATCAACTTCTTGAAGGTTCGATTCAAGAAAGTAAAAGAATTCATCTCGATACTAATCAAGATAATCAAGTTAACAATAATCTAATAATTAAGCTCGATAAAACTAGAAAACTTTTTGAATATATATAATTAGAAAATTTTTAGAAGTCTTAATTAATATTAGATTTTAACAATCAAATTAAACAAATACAGAGACTTCTGAGGGATCAGGAAAATGAAATAGATGGATTAAAAACACAGCTACAAAATATCTATGATAATATGAATTTGATCCGAAATTTATACAAAGAGCAATGTGAAAGTAATAAAGTTCTTGTTAAGCAGTGGAATTCAAGGTTTTTTTTTTATTTTCTTCTTATATTTTTATCAACAGAATTTTTATTAATTTTTTTTTTCATTTTTCTACTTATGTTTTTGACGAAATCTTTATTAATTCAAGGTTTTTTTTTATTTCATTTTATTTTTTCTTATGTTTTTATTGATGGAATCTTTATAGAATTTTCTTTCTTTTTATTTTCTACTTACACTTCTATTGGTTGAATCTTTATAATTTAAGATTTTTTTTTTTATTTGCTCATTACATTTAGATTAATGGAATCTTTATTAATTCAAGATTTTCTAGTCAACAAAAGTGTATTGATATAATAATTGAGATAGCAAAAGCTGAATGTATGTTATTATTCAATGATATAGAATTGCTAATTCAAGATAATTCAAGATTTTCTTTAGATAATCTCATGGTATATAACTCACGTGAATGGCTCTGTAAACGAAACCAGGTTATAGTTAAATTTGTTGAAGCTCTGGTTCAAAATAATCAGGCTGCTGATATATTAAGTCAGGAAAAACTTTTTAAAATGATTGTTGCAATTGACTCGGTATATGGGGCTCAACATGGGAAATATGTGTTAAAAATTCAACTTGTTATCTCAGCTATCAAGTATTCAATCATACGATTAAAGATGGTTATTAACATTAGTAACCATATTACAAGCTCAGGAAGTTATTATCAGTTTTAAAGATGGCTAGAAGAATTATTAATACATGAAGAGTCACTTCCTGATGGTCTTTTATTTCTCACATTTAATAATAAGCAAAGGGGACAAAAGAATTATCTTGATTGAAAATTCAATATAATTATTTATTATATCATTATTAGCTTTATTACTTTTAACATATTACAAAGCAAAATTCAACATATCGATATGCCTTGAGCATATAATTCTCTTAGCAGGTTACAATATGAAGAACTTTTTAATATTAGTTTTCAGATGCAAAAGGCTATTGATAAAGAATTATATTTTTTTTTTAACACTAGCCAGGCCTTGCCCAGTATACTTTATTATATT